GCCATCTGGTCTCGGATAATCCAGAAATGCAATCATCCGATTCCTGCGACTCTGATTATTCCTATTCATCAGAAAGTGAATCTAGTGACGCTGTAGACAGTGATCGTTGGTTACTTCGGGCCCACAATATGATCAACCACTTTTTACACCTGCAGCAAAGACGCAAATCCCATACCGCACGCTCCGCGTTTGGTAAGAGGCACAGAGACTCAGGCGTGAGGTCGAGAGAAAGGGGGGCGCGAGAATCTGCTGGTGAAAGTGAAGTAAGCTCAATTAATGAAGTGGAAGCTAGAAGAAGCAATGCTTTGATAAAGAGGATTCGTGGAGCAGAACGGCCAAGTCTTGACTGGAGATATGAACATCTTCCTTATATTGATCAGATGAGAGTGTAAGCAGTATTACTGGGGAGTTTTTCGCATTTTTTCAGCTACTTTATATTTTTTGATAAACCTTCATAAATATATCATGTATATTGACCGGGCAGGAGTAACTTTTTTTAGTTATTAAACGCCAAATCGCTTATTCATGCCATAGTTTCTTCTTTTAGACCTTTCGTATAAGCGTATTTAAAGGCCTCCTTCTATATCTACAAGGAGTAAGAAATTACATAATTTAAAAAAAAATAAGGTCTTTATTTACCCATAGTACATGTTCATAGCTAAAATTTTATTTCCTATGATTATCGATCATCGTATGAATATAAGTAATTTATTTCTTCCCTTTGAGAAGGCTGGATTTAAGACTCTGGACCTAGTTCTGAACAGGCATAAATAAATCCTGACTCTTAGTGTCTTGCTGAAACAGAAAATATGCAGGTAAAATCGTTTATGCCTTTTAAAATTAATTATAATTTTAGGTATAAATATGTGTTAAATGTTTTGCCTTGAACTTTACGGATACTATATTGAATAATAATGGCTTGTTTTAAGTACTAAATAAGGATTCATACTGTTTCATATATGTAGAAATATCGTAGGAATTAAAATAAATGTAGAGTAATTCAGCCGAAGACGAGATGTATTTTCTTCAGTTTTTCTTAATCTGTTTTATCAGGATTATTGGCTCCTAGCCATAGTTTATACCTTATTCTAGCTCATACTGTTAAGTATCTGCCTTCACTATGTCATTAGTAGCTTTCACGAACTGCGACACTTAACGAATATGGGTAGTATCTTGTTAATTAATAAGTTTTAAAGCACAATTAACATATTTTAATTTATCGTGCATGGGCATAGCTGAGACCGCATTCCGATTGTATTGATGCTGCTTTTTGTTGGTTAATCTGATTTGGAGTCCTGCAGATTCACTGCTGATATTTTATAATACTGAAGCATTGAAGCTATGCTTATTTTGATGCTATACTAGACATACTGTGGGTGGGCAAAGACAGTGATTTAAAGGTGAGAAATATGATTCAAATACAATATGCTATAATCATATTGAATTTAGTCATTTCAGACGGTGCCGGAAGCATCCAAATATCGCTAGTTAGTTTTGTAAGGATTTGATAAAAATTTAATGGATCTATGCTCAATTTTCTATTGATAAATAAGTAAATTCGGAGATCACCCGCTAACAAGCGAGACTTTTAATTTGCAAATCATATAGCTAGTTACGATTGCTCAAAATTCGTTATTCAACAGTTTCATTCCTTTTGATGACACTAAATCTAAAATAGCACCAATACGATAACGCTTTTCAGAAAGCAATATAAATGTTTAAGGCAGAGATTAGCATTAAGTCTCAAATTTTAGTTATACCACATTCTAAAAATCGATGTAGTATGAACAACTTTTTGATTTATAAAGTAGATTATTGCTGTTCTCGAAGGTTTGAAGACCATAATGTAGGCTCACGGTCTCATTTCGTTGTATAAAAATGGTTTGACCTCTATTCCCAACTTTCTTGTATTGTCAAAGAGACCTGTATGGGCGCACCCTGTTCGAAATACATAGTAACCATAATGTGTCCCAGCGTCGTATGGAGTTAGGAAAAGGTTTTTGAATCTAGACCTACTTGACATTATGAACAAGTTGCAAAAACGAGACCAAACCACTTATATTCCAATTATGCTTAGTATATTACGGAGACTTTCCCTATCTTTACGAGCGAATAATCGTATACTAATGGATAATTGGTTTAAGTTGGTAAAGCCCTTATTGAATTATTACTCTTCTCACAAATATTCTTGTAATGAACCTAATTTCTTCAGACAGCACTGTAAGTATCATTGGGATATCGGAATAATTATTATTGCAATACATTGAAATATTTAGTTTTTCATTCATCATAAGAAAACAATTATTTAAAAAATTTTAATTGTAGAAAACTTTGCCTGGTACTTCCTTAATTTAAAAGTTTGAATAGAACAAGTTATTTTGCATCTTATTTTAATAATGACTTTTTAAATATTAAAT